TGAAAATAAAATGATCACCATTTTACGTCTAAAAGATTGGACAATATTCGTACAAAGATGTACTTCTCTACTTTTTAGACGTAAATGTCATTGCCATTGCTAGTATTCGAGTAGTGGATGCTGAGCATCCCGCTGAATAAATACAACTTTCGTTCGCCGCATATTCATGAAAAAATTGTGATACCCTTCCAGTGGGAAAGGTGGCGGCCTGGGCAGCCTGGCGTCATCGCAGAGCGTGTCGTTCCGGCAGGGCTCAAACGTGGAATTCGGGGGCGTGGGCGAGCCCGCGTACACACTGGAGGAGGCGCCACGGAAGGGCCGGGACTTCAGCAATCCTATGTATGACGCCGTCACTAGGGCTGCCGCGCACGGGGAACCTGAACCACCGTTACGTCAGTATATTCTCAATAATATCAAAATGAACAATAGACTATATTTTTGCTGCTTTACACGTAACATAATAAAAAGATACACAAACACATCAGAAAGATCACTGCTAGACACAATCATGGACACATATATTTGTGGTATTTGAAAATAAAAATAAGATCTCGAAAGCAAACTAGATGTCACTAGCTCTTTTTGTTTTTTGTCTATGATGCATTCAGTTTTTTTTTTTTTTTTGATAATATAAGTAAACTGAGATTTGAAAATTAATAACATCGTTTCGTGTGTAATGTTATGCTCATTGAATGAAAAAAACTGCTCACAACGCGTTGCCCACAGTAAAACACCCATATCGCAAGTTCGTGCTATGACTCTAAGGAAAACGCTCTAACGAAAAAAAATGACGGCACGTGACACTATTTTAATTCGGTCGTACCCTTTGCACGGCAGGGCATAAAAACGTGTCTTCATAATAATTTGAGGTTGTCAGAACAATATGGACAAATTATACACATTTTCTATTGAAACATACAAATCGTACAAAAAGGATTTAATATTATGTCCTTGGGTTCACAAATAACAGACCGACTATAAATTAGGATACTAAACTTTTACAAATTTGATTTTAACAGTAGAACTTAGATTAACCGAACTAATTAGAACCGATATTACTTTGGAAAGTATGTGATTGAAATGTGACTTTTTGGGGTGTGATTAAACAAAATATTATGTAAAATATAAAATATATTTTAAAATAATATTTACTAATCATATAATAGTTATTTGTATTATAATTTAACATACATATTAACATTAAATTAGAAAACATCTGAAAAAATATAGGTTATAAGTATGGTACGGTGCGATAGAGATAGTAATTAAGAGCATTAACAGCAAATTAAACCAACTATGTCAGAGTTGTTTTTTCGACACATGAGCAATGCGCTGAGACTGCGCTCTGTAAGGTTTTTTTTAATAGGAAGTATCACTTTAGTCTTTGTATCGTTTAATGTTATTGATATCTTTTCAGCTGGAATATATGAGGTTCCCGACGAATTGAAGGAAAAAGTGGTGTCCGCCGTGATCTCTCCATCGTCGACGGAGACGCGGAGTGCGTCGCGAGCAGGACGGGGAGCGGCGGCGGGGACGGGGGCGGGCGCGGGCGGCGCTCGGGCGTTGGACCCCGCTGCGGACACCGGTGCCGATACACAGAACCTCGTCAACGAGGATCGCGCCTGCTAGCGGCGCCCCACCACCCGCCACACCTCCCACTTCCATCTCGCTCCCTCACGCCCGCAAAAATGCTCCGCTTGACGCTACTAAACGTGCTGCTCTCATCTTTGATGAGTCGCTCACGTCGTTGAAATCGAATCCTCATTTTGATGTTCACGTATATTTTATTATAATCATTGATGATCTTAAATGCGCGCATTAGTAAATGTTCTAAAATCGATTAACGATCGATGATCTTTCCCAACTCTGGTGTGAGCGACTCGCATCCTCTGGGCGAGTTTCCTGATAATAGAAATCTTTGAGGACACTAAAAAGATGCTGTGTTGCAACATATCTCAGCACAGAACTGGTTTTATAAACACTTCTTTCATTTCATAGTAGTGTTTCATCTGATAAATAACTGAAATCAATCTGATTTAGGGGGTCGAATGGTGCGAATCGAACGAAGAAGGCGGCTTCTAGATGCGCACCCTTGACGATGGAAAAAAGAACGTATCTATAGTTCTTCACGAATTTAATAGAAGCGTCGAGAAACGTGCGCCTCTCATTATTAATCTTATTATGAATTCTTTTCTCTCGCACCCGTCCATGTTTCTTCTAATTTTTTCTTCCCGGCTGATGCATTTTGTACTTACTTTTATTCTGACGCGTGTCACGTTTTCGACGCTTCTCTTTGGAGCTGTATACGGGCAACGCTCGCTTCTTTGACATTCTCTGCATTCGTCAAACCGAGTGACGGTGGAATTCGGAAGATGATATTCCCGATTTGAAATCGGATTTATCGAAGCACCGGTCGTTGTCCAAATCAAGCTTTTTTATTATATTCGTTATTGTAAGTTACGGAAGTGAACCATATCATTCGCGTGATATTGTCCGTTTACGGAACGTTATGTATATAGAGAGATTTATGAATTGTAATTTAGATAAAAAAATTACATTCCGACTTCGTTCGACGACGGAGGGACTGATATTATGATTTATTGTACGTGTTATATTACCTTTAATAACTATTATGCAGTTTTATAGCTTCTTAAGTATAGAACGTTCGAGGTCATACAGAATCAGTTAGTTAGTGCCTAAAATATCCAAATTTCTTGAAGATCTGTAAAAATGTCGTTAATCTAGTAATAAAGGACTTAGTACATAATTAAGTAACATAGGAATTGTTGTACGAGGGCGTGCGGCGCGCGCGCTCGTCTCTGTTTTAGGGTTTTAAATTCATTTGACAATAAGCGATATACTATATAGAAAAATAATTTATTTATTTCGGTTTAAGACTATGTAAAATATAGCCGTGTTGTGTTTTATAATTGTCTATTAAATGATAAAAATTATTATTAATTTGTGGGACTCATTAACGATTTGCCATAAATGTGTGAGATAATATTTCTGTTGTTATAATTATTATTCTTAATCTCTTGCAGTTTTTTGTTGACTAAGCGCCTCCACAAGTTGTATATAAATGTTGTGTTTTAACTTGTGTATTTTGTGATGTACAATTTAAAGGTAAAATTATTTTTTATTGATTCATATATAGATATGTATTAAATGATGTTTCTTCTGTGAATATAACACTACATCACATTAAATTATAAAACCAAATTATACAATATATTCTACAAATCATTTATATGTGTATAGAGAAATTATATTATAATGTAAAAAGATATAAATCTGTCAATATTATAAATAAGGAGATGAAATATTTTTGTATTGGGATTATAGTTATTAGACAATTGTCTGACCTTAGTTGAAACCATTGTATAAAAATAAATAATGATGAATGAAAAAGTATTTTTATTTAATTACCTGTTGCTATAGGAAAAACTTTAATATCACGGCGTAAAAATTTACAGTAGACCAATGCCTTGTGCATTCATCATTCTTAATGAGGAAGTATTTAAAAAAAAACCAAAGCATTAAAAAGTACCTCCACTAGATGGCGACTCTAGCAAAAGTTGATTTTTGCAGGAAACGAAGGGACCAAAGACAGTCATATTAAAAAACTGAAATTTCAAAAGTTCGAAACTTAGATAACAATACAAATACGAAAAAGTACAAATATTGTTTATTGAGTTTTGAAAACAAATTTACTTTTGAACTTGAAAGAAAACCGGAAAGGTCATGAAAAGTCATGGAGAAAACAAGAACGTACCGTAACGACATCTAGTTTGATTTCGGGAATTAATGTTTTTTTTTAATACTTCCTCATTAGTGCAAGGTCTTTTTTTAATTATTAGAGAAATAAAGTCTCACTCAATAGTGTAACTTACCATACTGACATGAATAATCTAAAGACCCAGGGGCCTAATTTTAAATTGAATCGCAATCTCTGTCGATTGGACATTTGAAAGATATTCTAAAACTTTACACTGCATCTTTTTTACGCGTATGGAAATACTGCACATAAAAAACAAGCTGAATTCAGCGTTCTGTTTTTTGTTCTTGATTCGAAACCTGAATTCGGACGAATCGAGTCAATTGAAGTTACGAGCAACCAATAAGTTGGCTCATCGCTAATGTTGACATATAAACCAAACATCGTTCCTTTACATGTAACGTAATAAATAATTTAAACTTATGATTCAAATAAATTAAAATTAAATTAGAAAGTTAGATATGATAAAAACACGAGACTATGTAATATTTATAATTAATTTTCGATACTCAATTTACTTTTATTACGTTAGAAACAACATTTAAATGTATATCATAGACAAGATCCAAACATACTGAAATCTAGTTTGATTTCAAGAACTAATTTTTATTATTTCAAATACTTCCTCATTTCAACTTGATATTAAGTCGAGTTATCAGATCCATAACTAGTTACTTTATTTTTTTAAAAACTTCTAATTTCATGCAACTATGTAGTTTCGTAATGCAAATTCAACTTAATTTCTATATAAAACAGTTCTGATGTCAATGTTATAAATATATTATAGTCACTTCACAAAAACTTTGTTATAGGCTGTTTTTTTATTTTTGTTTGAACTAAGTGAACGTGCAAAGAAGTTATTTGACACAAAATAAAACTAATTTAGTTACATAGGAAATAATCGAGCAACACTGTCGATGACATTTATTACGGTTTTGCCAACATTCTAATAAATTTTATTAATGTCACACACAAATTCACAATTCTAAAATGCCAAACAGACAAAAAGTTTCAGGTTGTCCAAATATGAAGAATTAGAATTCGAAGTGTTTTACGTAACACAAGTTTAGATCTCGATTAGAAATATTTTCGTTGAAAATTTATAAATTTAACGTTCAAATTTGTGTTATCAAAAATCATAAGATTGTTGGTGTTCCCTATTAAAAAGTTGTGTATCGGATAACCTTTGAAAAGAAATATAAGTTTTTCTACAAAACTGTACGTCAAACAGTATCTATAGATTCTGGTGTGTAGAAGTGTTTCGTTACTTTGTTTACAGTTCCCTGACAACAATTATTGATTGACCGCAATCGAAAGCCCACTGTCAAACGCGTCTGTCATTTCGTATTATATTATGTTTTTGTGCTTGATTTAGAAGGATGAAAACTGTTTCAGTCTAAGGAAAAAGTATTATATAATTTTTATACATTTATCAGTGATAAACAGTGTTGTTTGCTTAAGCCGTCAGTGGTGACGCGTAAAGAGTGGTGTAACTGATAAATATGTTTCAAGTCAAATGGTTAGCAACGCGCAGCAGTCGTTTACTGGGTAGTGTGACGGTGGCTTCGGAGTTTGGCGGAGTTTTGTCAGTTTCCCTTGAACGCAACGGTGTTAGAACCATGGCCAGCAAAGTGCTCAATTTAGACAATTTGAACCCCAATGTAATAAAACTGCAATACGCAGTGCGCGGGCCTCTCGTTATACGTGCTGCTGAAATCGAAAAGGAATTACAAAAGGTAAAATGTGTATTCAGATTGTTATTATTTACCAACTACCTAATTCTTAAATTTCTAGAGTAATTGTATTTTTTTTTTATTTCAAAATTATACTTTTGTTTTTCTAACTAAAGTTTGAAATGTTAGTTATAGCAGAGAATTTTGAATTATCACAAAATATCATAATTGAATTGTATTCTTCATTGTTATAAGGCAAAACTGCAGCATGCAGTGGATTTCAAAAATACCCAATTCATTTTATGAAACCATTTGTATTTTTTAACAATTTTTTTTATTATTAATATTCAAAATATTCTCAAAATGTTATTTAAATATTTGAAATGTAACAATAAAAATATATTTATCAAAATAAGTATTTGCCTGATATAATAACCTGCTATAGTGTGTAGTGTAATGTAAAGTGATATACAGACTGATTTACATAATCTGTGTCAACTACCTTTGTGGTAATATCAAGGTCAAGTTCACTGTTTACATTTGAATATTGATGAAATAAAAAAAAAAAAATGTTGTTATTTAATCATTAAGAAATGTATAAAGTTGAAATAAAAATGTACTTTCAAAATAAGGCATATACTAAAAGTAATTAGGGTGGCAATGGGTCTATACAAGCTTTTTTACCCAACTGCACAACGCAATGGAGGGTAATGTGTTTATGAATCTACATATGTATGTTTGTTCTTATATGGCATTGTAGAGACCAAATGGCTTGGCCAATTTTGATGATTTATATGTCAATCAATTTGTCTTAACCTTGTGAGTGTCAAAAACACAACGGTAATCTAAATTATTTTTTTAATAAAATCATGAGTAGAAAGTTTGTTTCATTAAATACTTTTATGGTATGACTATACGGCAAAACTTAACTTGACCTAACTTTGAAGCAAGAAAGATACATCACCCACATAGCAATGATAAGGTTATCTTTATCTAAAAGTTTTTTCGAATACAGGTATTGTCGAATTATCTGATTAATGTAATCATTGTATTTATCTTTAAAAATCAAGTATTCCACAGGGTGCGCAAAAACCATTTAAAAAAGTCATCAGAGCTAATATTGGAGATGCCCATGCTATGGGTCAGACCCCCATAACATTCATACGACAGGTTAGTTATTAGTATATATTTCATATTTTAGTCATGTAATTATCGGTCTCATTAATGTGTTGCTATGGTTCAGACATTCCCTATTGAAACATGCAGGTGCAATGCGGATTGGTGGGTGTTAACAGCTGCGGTGCAGCCGGGACCAAAGGCTTAACACATTTTACATTTTCTCAAATATGAAGGAGGTTGAGTTAAAAAATATTTTTCATATTCTATTGTGTATTTAGACTCGGTACAAATTTGACCGGATATCCGTCAAGCGTCTCATGAAAATATGTATATGTATAGTATGCAATGGAGTATAATGTAGCTATTATAATTAAATAACTACCTAAACTAATAGATACCTATTAGTTTTTCTGCGACTGCGTTTATACAGCTTTACTGATTATTTTATTTAAGATAGTATAATTATGTGCCATTTTATAATTTTGTGTCGTTTTATAGGTATTGGCATGTGTGACTTTACCAGATCTGATAAAAACTGGAAATTACCCTGAAGATGTTAAGAAAAGGGCCACGGAAATTCTCAATTCCATGGGGTAAACTTCTTAATATTAACTTACTTAGGTGCAAATGATTTGCCAATAGACATGTTTACTTAGGTCTCAAATAAATGATTCGATGCACACTGTTATCTAATCGCGTAGAACGATTTACCTCATTAATTCTTCGTGGTTTTACTTATATTACAGATGAACGCGTTTGGTGCGTTCTAAACCGCAGAGTTAACATTGAAAAAGATATGCCTTCTTCCACCTGATTTATATGCATTATATATTTTTTCAAACTTGCTATTTTACCGCGACTTCACATGCGTAATTATAGTCTATCTCGACCCCGTATGATACGTAGGTGAAGGAATTTTTAAAAGCGGTCCACTAGATTGGGAGCCTATTCGATGCATACAAATATACCAATCTTTCCTCTTTTTAATATTTTATTAAATAGACAGAATAATGATAAAGGATTTTGAAAAAGAGTGGATAGTAGTTAATTTATGTATTTTTAAATCACGTCATTTATAAAAAATCTGGTTACATTCAGTTACGGGCCCAGGGCCTCAATTAAGCTAACTTTTTACGTCATAATCGCATTTCAATTATTTGTATTTAGCCATTATACTAAAGTCCAATATTATTAGTGCAACGTCTTCCTCACAAATCAATGCTAACAGATATATTTATTTATAGTTACCTACCTAGGAGAAAAAAGCAGCCCTTGCCGAGTTTCTTGCCGGTTCTTCTCGGTACAAGGTCTCCCGCCGTAGATTTACGAACCGATGGCGTAGCTCTCGACTTCCACAAGTGCTTGTAACAGCATAGACTGAATAAATAATTTTGATTTTGATTTTTGATTTTATTATTTTGTGATCTAGTAACGAGAACTATGTTATAAAGGGTTTTAGTTGAAGCGTTATTGGATTTCCATAATTGCGCTAACATTAGCAAAATTGCTCTACACGTCAATACATGAATTTGTAATACAGGTTTTATTCTGGCAGTATATCAATAGAACCTATACGATGGAAAATTTGTCTATAAAGTCAAAATATTTTTTATTATTAAAAAAAAAATGTCTTTATGCTGTTTATAACAATGGGCGCAAGAAACTAAGCAATATTTAATTAAACCATGTCGTATCATTACCACGATATCAAAGATATTAATTATGTGCATGTAGAGTTAAAATGAAATAAGTTAATGACGCGACAATAACTATATAATTTTTTCAACTATTCCATCCATTTAAATATTTCCATAGTTTGTAAAGTATACGGACTTGCAATATTAATAATGTACAGTAGGTAACCATAAAATGTTCTATTTGTGACGCCCGAGTTATGTTTCAGCGGCAAATCGGCGGGAGCGTACACGATGTCGCATGGTATAGAGTACATCCGGCGTCAAGTGGCGGAATACATCGAACGCCGCGACGGACACAAGGCCAACTGGCAGGACGTGTGCCTCTCGGGCGGCGCCTCCAACGCCATCAAGAATGTGCTCCAGCTGTTCTGCAATAAAGTCAACGGGAAGACTTCTGGTCAGTGAGTTGTTACAATTTCTCTTCTCAAATATTATTACACTTTTAGGGTTAGAGAGAAATCGAGTCTTTGAAATTATAGACTTGCTGATGAGTATTCTGACAGTGATATTAATAAAATGAAATGTTTAGAATTCAGCATCTTAAACTATGATGAAATGGTCTTAGTGCAAAATGATTTTACATATCAGCGAGTTCTAAATATACTGGCAAGATTACCAAATTTCATACAAGATTTGTTGCTTTTGCACATATGTGAATTTGTCCTGGCGGTTACAGCATTTCTTGAAGAAACATACTGAATGGATGTGGAAATAGCTAGATTATAATGGTTAGACAGTTATATTAATGGACATTCGCAAGATAACGCCTGTAGGGTAATTGTGGAAAGTCAATACTTCAACTATAACCCTATTTGACACGGCTCTTGTTACTAGATCACAGAATAATAAATTATCTGTCACCATTGATATGTGAGGAAGATATTGCTCTAATAATATTGGACTTCAGGTAGATGTACAATGGCAAAATTAAAGTAGTTGCGATTTTACTGATGTAATTATTACGTAAAAATTTGCAAAATCGAGGCCCTGATTCCATTATATATAATTCTAGCCTTCGTCAGCGGCTTCGCCCGCGTGGACCCTAGGGAAATGTTTAGTGGGATAAAAAGTTCTATTATCTAAGTCAGCTAATACCCTATATGTATACCAAATTTCATCAAAATCCGATCAGTAGTTTCGGCGTGATTGACGGACAAACATCCAAATATCCAAACATCTAAATATCCAAACAAAGAAACTTTCATATTTATAGAATTAAAAGCTTTATATATTATAGATAGGAAATAATAGGATTATTAATTTCTGCCTTTTACGATAATGCATGTTCGTTAACTCATTATCATAGAGTTATTATTGCAATGACCGCAGAGTATAGAGAAATAGATGCATTTCTTTGTCAGTGTTCCAAAATATTTTTGGCATTCGAAGTATTCTTATTAACGCTCTTCCAACAACGAGTTCGCGTCCGTTTTTAGAGAATGGAAATGTCATTTCTCTTTTTTTATGTTTGCTAATTATCACACCTGTGGCTTGGCAAGCGTGAAATTCTTCTATTTATCTCTTCACCACGATTATATTAATGTGAATTTAGTTCAAAATAAACTTACATACGTTAGGTTACCACAATCTGTGAAATTCTCCCGTTGATTATAAACTGTACCCTCAAAATAAAGTTTTAAGAGTACAGTTGAAAATAAATTGAGTTTGCATAACATGACCTACTGTTGATTGTAGATGAATAAATTTAAAATATGGTTCATTTCAATTAAAAGTTTGTTTCACACGAAATGATTATGTATGATTGTGACCTCGCAAGCTGTTTGTGGAATTGGTCATAAATTGTAGTTGCATTCAATTAGGGCTGCTAAAAATAAGTTTCGTTTGGAGATCGCCAAAACGCGGATTTCCTTTGCTTTGTCGTTGTTTAACTTTAATTTTGTCTATGTTAATGTTGTTCTATCTCAGTGTAATTAGTGATCAAACTGATCAATTATACACATGCTTCTGCGCTACAACAGTTACGGCACAGTTATTCATAAGTAGGTGGTATATACGGTGAAAACTCTCAAAGGTAATTCGTAGTTGTAATCAATTTTTTTTTTTCTAAAACCCGCAAACCATATTGAAACAATATAGGAGTGTGTTACATTTTTGGTTAGCCTGTTTTGTCTGTCATATAGGTCATACATTCTAAAATGTAATTATTATTCTACACAAATGTATGTATTTTTCTTTTAATATTTACTTTTAACATGCAATTAAATTACATAACAGAAAAAGAGTACGTGTAACCACGACTTTGCTAACGTAATACCACAGTTATTATAATACCAAGAGTCATTCAGCCCAGAGAACCATTGGTCACGCCAACTACTCTCATATTATAATTGTATTGTGTATACATAGAGCAACGTTAATGAAACGGCTTGTCTTGAATAATGTGATGTAAGTGCTACTTGCATACATTCACCTGTGAAGGTTATTTGTAGTTAATATGCCAAGATACCCAAAACTAACAAAGATCTTCAATTGATTTTAAACTTTATCGTATTGTTAGTAGAGTGTTAAATAGTTTTGACGAATAGGGGTGTAGACAACTTTTTATCTTTTTATTTTATAGATAAACATGAATATATATCTATTATAGATCTATCTAAAAAAATATATGTCGTTCATAAAATAATTTACAATCTAAAAAAATAACTTTCAAAATTTCCCGCGAAAACGCCAGTTCTGTCATGGCGTCGCTTTGACGTCTAGGCAAACGAATATCGTTCTATGTATGCATAAAGTTGAATTCTCGAGATTCTGATATGATTAAGCGTGACGTCACGCACTCTTTGCGGTCACGTGACAAAAAGCATAAAATGTTTTATCATAATTAGTTTAAGCAATATCATAAATGTATTAAGCATAAAAGTGCGATTATCGGTAATTAAACACTACCAGAAAAAAAAATTCGTTTACTGTCTAGGCCCGATTATGGTAACCGATGTCTGTCTGTGTAATAAGCCAATATAATGCTCGAATATTGTGCATTACCTCTATTTTCTTAAACATTGTATTTTAAATACTACAGATGGTCTCTTTTCATTGGTTAGGAAGAGAGCAAGATGTAAATAGTAATTCAGAGAGTTAGTTCAATGGTGTATGTTATTGGTTCTATCTTATGTAAGTTGTGATGTTATAGAAGCTTTTATATTAATATAGAAGCAAGATATGATATGAATTTGCATTGAATAGGCTTCGAAACTACCTGTTCGATTATAAAAATTATTTTACCTGCGGGAAGCTACATCGTACTCTATGTTCATGACTATGAAAGGTTAAAACAACATATAATTTAATTTTGTTGACATTTGTAGAGTACCAATTCTGTTTGGCCCGCTTAATAATTCTATGAACCTCATGCAAAATACAACTGGATATTAGAAATAACGTAGAATTGAAGTGAGATAAAGTTAGCGTAGTTCAATGTTTCTAAATAATAAAAAATATTCAAATATATACAAATGTCAGTTCTGCTTGCGATTAAATATGATAAAGATAACCGGAGATAAAATAGCTGACCTTAAATGAATATTTAAACAGCACAATACCGCTTAACAATGTACTAAAGCATTTAATATGGATAACAAGGAACATGAAATGAAATTTAATTAATTGGCCTACTTATAAGATATAAATTTTTATGGGTACCACAGAGATTACAAACAAGTTGAAGTTATGTAGGTGACACTACCACACAAACCCGATATAATATATAAAAAAATATATTGATTTGAAAGGGCATCAAAACCGGGACCTCAGAGATGGCAACAGTTTTTAAATTGTGTGCCAGCCGCTTGACGTCATAATTAATGAAAATTACTTAGTATATATTTCAATCACGTTTTGTATTTGTCACACACGACTTGTATTTATAATTTTTTTACTTATCTGGTATCGTGTTGTATAAAACTATGTGAGATTATAATATATATTCTTAGAGTGTAAAAAAGCGGACGCTTTGTTCGTTATAAGTATCGCTATCATCTCTTATTAACTGATGGCTGATAACGCAAATCGTAATACATGTCGCGAAATCATACAGGTATATTATTTATATTATTGCCTTTACTTTATGCCGCCATCGTGTATTTCTGTATCCCATAGGTTGACTGGCAGAGAATGCTAATAGCATTAAGTCCGCCTTTTGTACCAATTTAATGGACAATAAAGTTTGTTAAATAAATAAATAAATTATTATAATAATAATAATAAATACTCTTTGTTACACAAAAAAGGAAAATTACATAGACGTTCATAAATATTTACGATAAAAACGTACAAAAGGCGGCTTTATCGCTAGCCAGCGATTTCTTCCAGGCAACCTAGCTTTGTATGGAAAAAACAAGATATTAAATAGCAGATAGTGCATATGTTACGCTCAAAGATCGAAAACGCTCAGTGAGCAGAAAAATAGCTCACAACGCGTTGTGGTCACAGTAAAACATCCACATGGCGAAATTCGTGTTATGGCTCTAATGAAAACGCGCACGACGCGTTGTGGCAATCACAGAAAGACCAAATAGCGAAATTCGTGTCGTGGCTGACATGCTATTCGATCTCAACGCGTTGTGGCAATGAAGAAAAGCCATGATGCGTTCTGAGCATTCATTGTTTTAACCATATCACGACGGACAGGTTGTAACGAACTTCGTCGTTAACACTCCGCTCAGCATCTATGTTATCATCTGGAAGTAAGCAAGGGTTTATAATGTGCCACTGCAAAAGATACTGTATTGATAAAAAGTACAAGTGTCGCTCCAAGAATGCTGAGCGGAGTGTTAACGACGAAGTTCGTTACAACCTGTCCGTCGTGATATGGTTAAAACAATGAATGCTCAGAACGCATCATGGCTTTTCTTCATTGCCACAACGCGTTGAGATCGAATAGCATGTCAGCCACGACACGAATTTCGCTATTTGGTCTTTCTGTGATTGCCACAACGCGTCGTGCGCGTTTTCATTAGAGCCATAACACGAATTTCGCCATGTGGATGTTTTACTATGACCACAACGCGTTGTGAGCTATTTTTCCGCTCACTGAGCGTTTTCGATCTTTGAGCGTAACACATACAACAAATAACAATTTAGATCATACAAAATGAACAACAACAATTGTAACAGCGAAGTATCACCAAAAATTACATAAAGTTAAACAAAATGCTCCAGACACATGTGACAAACAGAGCGCGAGAAGTAAGAAAAGAAAATAGAAAAGCAGGCTAAACTTTTGTCAGGAGGATATTAAATGTATACCTATATCATAATTCCACAGTATAAAAACATAAAAGACACAGTGTAAAGACATGGCTTACACTTTTGTAACAATAATAAAATGTGAAACTCCTATATAATTACCAAGCCATTTTATGGCAGTTCGGGCTCACTACCAGGCTCCTTTACCCTTATATAATACAATGCAGATAATAATACGTAAATACTGAGATGAGTGGAGTGACGAGAATGAAGTAACAAATACTTATTCCGAGTGGAATGGAGTGATAGAAAAACTGAAAGGTAATAATTCCTTATTGTAATAAATGTTAATAAGAGTCTGATGGAGATGAATGTCGATGGATAGAGAGTAAGGGGAAGACTACAGAAAAGATAGATGGACTGTTGAGTTGAGTGAGTGATGACCGTTGACAACTGTCAGAGAAGAGTGGAAGAAGACGCCGATCCAACATATAAAAATATAACAAGACAAGAAGATGATGTTGAAAATATTTAAAAAAATCATAAAATCACTTCAAATGAGTCGATTAATGTATGTGCTGTTTGAAAAATTCAATGTTTCATTCTATGTATATATTTAATCTATAATACACATACACGTTAGTGACGCGTCTGCGCAAACATTTAATTTGCATATTTGGTTTGTATTCGGACAAGTGTCACTAAAATGTTTCTAAATGATCGTGGATATGAAAATATTCTGTTGTTGTCATGTGCTGACAATAATTTTGAGAATGTAACCACAGTGTTACCAAACAATGATTCGATATATATAATTTTAGTTTAAGAACTTCGTACTAGCTCTATTGAAATAAATTCGATAAAGCATTGAGTATTATGATTTAAGTCAATGTCATTCGAAACTACTTAAATTTTTCATAGCTATATGATTGCTTTTAGTAATAATATTATAATCTAATGCGCGTATCCAGAAAAGACTACAATAAAAAGATTTTAGAAAAAGAACAACTTCTGAACAGGTTTATTTTTATGGGTTCGGTTGAATCCTTTGCATGATCTGTGATTATTTACATGAAATAAAACGTCTAAATGATTAAAAAAAAACCCGTTTCGTAATTTGTTTTAATTAGAAAAACTCGTTTTTGAAATCGAATATGTATATTACAGGTGTGTTGATTCCCATACCGCAATATCCTTTATACTCGGCGTCTCTTGCCGAATATGGGCTCGGTCAAGTGGGCTACTACTTGGACGAGGACAAAGACTGGGCCCTGCAAATAGATGAGCTGGAGCGAGCGAGGAAGGAGGCATCCTCCAACTACGCTGTGCGAGCCCTTGTCGTCATCAACCCTGGCAACCCTACCGGGCAGGTGAGTTTCTGGTCCACTTAAACATGTCCTTTTCAAGACGGGTGCGGGGTCGAAGAGCCCTGGTTTAATACGTAAGGTTACCTTGCGTTAAAAAAACGTGTAAAATACCCGAAGTACTTGCTTCGGCATTACCTAAAGTAAAATTTGGTGAGTTTCTTTTGACATCTTGACGAGGTTAACACAGGCCTAATTGTCTAATTTTGAAATCTTGCGCTATCCCTTTCAATTTGACATGCTATAGATATTCACGATTTTGATGCTACAACTATTTGGCATGTGATAGCGATTGCGGTCGCGATTTTTTTTAAAGATATCGTTAATTGGACGTTTATCTAAAGCAAAAAAGACGTAATTATAACTTAATTTTCTTAATGAAAAATGGTTAGAAAAATCATAAATCATCATCATCAATCAAAAGGTTGCCTGGAAGAAATCGCTGTTCAGCGATAAAGCCGCCCATTGCACGAATGTAATTAATTTTTTTTTTGTTTCTTGCAATGTATTTATTTTTACTTTTTTTGTGCAATAAAGTGTTAAATAAATAAAAAAAATAAATAAATAAGAATATTTTCCAGTAAGTATAGCATTGTGAATGCAAAATTGATAAAATATAACAATTACTCAATTACTAAGTTTTTATATTTCTTGATTATACAAATCATTGGTTCCGAAAGAGGCTTATTTTTTTAAACTTTACATAATTCTATAGATCAATATCACAATCGCTATACACTTGACAAGTACCGCGATAGATTTTTAAATTAGTAAATTGTTCTTCACAAAATGTCACATTTCAGTAATAAACTTTGAGCTTAATTCTCAAGACTAATGTTTAAAATTGAACTAAAAAGTATTTTATAATTTTACTAGTGTAAAAGCGAGGAATCTTTTGCGATCATCCGATGCTTCGACCTTCCCAAATTCGTGTAAATATATCTCATTATCAGCATTCGATCAACACTTAGGTAAAGGGTATCCTCACTGTGGCACATGACTATTCTATGGATTTAATGAAATAAGCGGAACGGGCCATAATCAACCTCGCGGGCTCTTTGTGGATTAGTGTGTGTTAAAATTTCTAACCTGCGCAATTTCAAGAATTCAATGGGAAACAAGAAAAAAAAAAATTAAAATGTGTGCGTGTATGTATCGTTGAACCAATGTATTTATTGTAGAACCAATATCGAAAAACAGATAAACTATCTCAACCATATTACATCATAATATTATTATCTCAAATCGTTTGTTCATACTTTTGTGTAATGTCATTGTAGCTGTTTATTGCATTTGATAATAAAAAAATAAATTACTGGACTTGATAGTGTCTGTGTAAAAGTTAAAAGGGCATGCACCGTTAGTTCGGACTTATTGTAACAATGAGGAAACTGATCTAAAACGCGAAAGTAGCAGGATTATATTTAATGAGTTTTTCACGACCTCAGGGATCGAATGGCTTACAAGTCGTTTACAATGTGTCGCCGTCTATGAGGTCATAAGTTCGATTCCCGCTACTCTACAGTAGAAACATAGTTGAAAATAAACATTTCTATATTGTCTCGTGAATTATGGTATTGTCGTTATTTTAGAAACTGCTATATACTACTGAATTTGATATCTGAGAAATGTATGCGATGTTGTCTAATATTTATTTCTGTTAAGAGTTGCCGTACACAAAGAAAAATACCCTATTACGAAGACTCCTTTGACCGTCTGTCTCGTGAACCGTGATAGACCGTTGAAATTTTCACAGATGATCTGTTTCCGTTGCCGCTATAACAACAAATATGTTAAAATATAAAATAAATCTTTATGGGGGGGTCCCAAACACCAGGCATATTATTTTTCGTTTTCATAAATAATTGTACGGAACGAATCAGATGCGAATCCGACTTGTTTTTTGTTTATTGACTGTTCTCGGATGGTGATGCTAGAGTGGTAAATGTAAGTTTCGCGTTAAGAATCTGTATGAAAATTACCGCTAGGGGCGCTGTACCGAATTCGATACTAAAATCTTAACGCGCTCCCGATCGACGGTGAACGTTAATGTCAATAAAAAACTAACACTAAACGCTCTGATAATATGAAAACCAGCCAGCATATGAAAAAAAAAATAATGTTAATTCGAAAATCTTTTATAAAAAATAAAAAATTTACAAACATAACGCATAATTCTCCCCTCAAGATATCGCTGAGATATAAATAGATGATAAATAACTTGATATTATTTGGCAACGATAACGTTCGAGTAAGGAGACTGCTTTATAATCATTTCAAGTGCTTACTGTTTTATCTTCAACTCATGCGCTACTATAATATCGTTGTATATATTTATTGCATTTCATAAATAGCTTAGAATTACCAGTGATAAGAGTATGTTCGAGGACCTCTTTATAAGTCACTCAAGTACTTATAGATGTGTAATTTGTGTATAATCATATCTCTTAAGAATATTATATGAAGTAGTTTGAAATATCCCATTTTATTTTGGACTGAAGATTTTTTGCTGGCAATTTTATAAATATATCTTGACAATTAGTAATGTAATTCTTTATCATTCACTCAGCTGCCTTGATTTCCGTGAACAGTTTAATGAGACCTGAAAAATTACGTTTTTCTTTGAGTCAGTTCAAATACTTCATACGGGTAAGCCTCAAAAATCCTCCTGTTCTTCGGTGGGATCGGTCCTGTTTTTGTTACCCCTTTTGGTATATACTATATATATATACTACTATAGAACTAAAGGAATTAATCACTTAATATTAGGTCCTTACATATGAAATTGGTGATTGGTATGGGAGGAACAAAAAGTCGAATATTTCTAATCATCATCATCATCAGCCCTTTTACGTCCCCACTGTAGTGGCTCAGGCCTTCCTTATGGATGGCCAAGGTCGATGGGCCGGCGCGTTTGCCGGTTCGCTTTACTCAATTCGTGAGGGACCCACCTTTCAAGCTTTTTAATCTTTCCAAAAAAGTGGATTAAAACAGTTTTATCACTAACACCGCAGCCTGCAGCTAACTCGGACGTGGTATGCGATGGATTCGCTTCCACAATAGCCTTCAATTCTTCACTATTAACTTGGGTCTCCGGCCGTCCACGGGGCTTGTTCTGCAGGTCGAAATTTCCAGAACGAAATCGTTGGAACCAAAATCGCACTGTGTTTTCTTTTGCGACACAACCGCCATACACATCATTTCCGCAGCACTGGTACCACAGTGGAACTCGTACTCGTAAATACCACGATATTTTAAGTTTTCCATTTTTTATACTGGGTGATGTAAATAGGACAAAAAGAAGAAAAAGAAAAAACTAATGAATGGCGCCTAACGAAACACAAATACATGTGTAAATGGCGGTATAAATTTGAATTTGGAGTTCCCAACCAAGGTGGAGAAAGAACAATGGCCATCTGCCTAGCATGCTTGGACTAGTAAAATCGAATAAAACGTAACTTGATGAAACATATGTTATTTTGTTTGCCTATGCAACTAGAACAAAGAAAGACATTAAATATATTTTTAAAAGCTGGGAATATCGAGAAATTGTGAAATATGTTTTTGAGGTTATGTCGTAATATTTAAACTGTAGCATTTTGAGTTAGAGGTATTACAGTTGAAATATGTAAAGCACACGTCAGATAATGCCTAATCGTAGTCCTAGAAGTGCATACTTTCACATAATACTTCAAACTTGCTCCATATCTGATATATTATTTTTATTGCCTGTAAGAAATAAAATCATTTTTTTGTGAATCAATGAACATCAAAAAAAAAAAAATATAACTTTTAAGATTGCTCTCAATAACTCTATTTTTCTATCTTACACTATAACTTATATAAAGTAGTAGTGAAAATACTAATTTCAAAAGGTTATAGCAAAACAACATGTTGATTTTTCTTTTCTTTATTACAACTCTAATGAATACCTCAGCACGGAATGCTGCAGGAGCAGCACACATTGTACATTTACATTGTTCGTGTCTGGCCAATCCAAGATACCAAACTATGGTCATTATATGAGCACAGCATCCCAGTGTACATCGACCAATAAGACAATTACAGCAGCGTTCTCTTATGCCATCTAACCCGGATGTGTCATTATTCTTTAAAATGTACACATAATATTGTTTCCTCCCAATATCTCGATTTAATTCTACCCCTTATAATTAGGACTTTATTTATATTTAAGTCTAATTCTAATAAATCCAGAGAATCCTGTATTTCTCTCCAGACCTCAATTCTATACTGCCCATAGAACCTAGTATCCCCCCCATAATACAAAATATAATACAAAATCGATAATACGTAGAAACACGTCTACACATACTTGTCTAAAAAAGGGAGGTCGCAATCGATTGAAAACTGTAATATCGATTCATATGAACAATCATTTGTTTTTAATTTCATTATAAATAAACTATTTTCCTCTAAGTAACATCTAATTATATTAGTAATAAGTTTTATAATTTTCACGGTTTTATATGGTTAGTAAATAATATAACATTTGTATCAAATTCGATTAGTCAGAAATAAAATCGATCTTGTTCTTTGAAAAGAGAGGGATTTCTCTAGGAATGACATTATTAAAAAGATGCGTTCAAAAATAACATAATTTAAACTGCGTTCTAAAAAATAAAGACATATTTTAGATAGGATTATCTTTCTTTTCCCAGCTTTTAAAAATAAATTGTTGGCATATAATAATTACATTCAACTTATACTACATTTTGACGATAGTTCCATCTTGGTACAAGAACTTTTTTTTTTGTAGTCCATTTTGACCATTGTTCTTTGTGATTAAATTGGCCAGTACGACAAAACGCCAATTTGATATGTAAGGACTTATTAAACTTTGTAATATTTATTAAACTTTTGTAAGTTAAGTATGTTGAAATGTTATATGAAATGAGTTGTTTAATGTTAGATATAATTTTACAGTCTAAACCGGTGGTTTAATGTTTTAATCAGTTTATCTCACGGCTGGGTGAAATAGAGCGGTG